GACTCATTATAATATTGTGTCAATTGACTCGATGTTTGTGTAGCCAACAAACAGCCTCAAGTAACACTTGCAATCCGAAGAGACTAAGCAGAATGGATGCAGTTATTACAGATATGACATCTATGTGTCTAAAACAAGCAAACTGTTGGCTAAAAGTCAAATTAGACTGACTTTATAGTGTATCTCAGATGTTGCTGGGGTAGCTATCCTTATGTCTATATAAACAATTACTGAGTAAATATGACAACCTTAACACTGCAGTTGTGCCTTGAGCCAAACACAACAGCATATTGATTCGTCGATGCCAGGTTTCTTAAAGAACCAGCGTGGGTGTTGTCCTTAGTGCGCTTCGAGGTAACATTTGTTTTAACAATACTTTATGACTTTTTTCAGATACATTGACATTACGCAGGGTTTGTGACAGGGAATGAGGTCATTATTCATTATTTGCTTTAACAGCAGGCAGCAATAAAACGCATCATCCTCTAACTTTGATAAAAGTGGGTCTTAGGTATCACTGCTGAGGTAGATTTTTGGGTCATTGATCGTATGCTGTTCCAACTGTGTGAACAAACACAGAGCTGCAATACAATATGCATTTGACACAAATATATAGGCACTGTACCTAAGAAAGTACCAGAATCTACTTCAACACAGTATTTATTCAGCAGCAGTAGATGAGTGGAGGGTTCGGCAGACAGAGAGAGGCGCAGTATGGCTGACTCACCTGCGGACTGGGCTCTGTAGACGGCTGTAACACAGCGGGCTGGTAGGGAGAGGTGGAGGCTGGAGTGGTCTGAGCAGCTAGGCCATCCTGAAAAGCAAACAAATGACGTGATTGTGAGGAAAACTACCCAAGCCCAAGACAATAACAATACAGGCAGGAAGGTGACAGAAAAAGAAAATTAACCAGGAAGAGGAGGACAAAACCAAAACATAGAGACAAAACAGCAGCTCCAAATAAAAAAAGAAGGAAACAAGGGAGGAAAAGATTGAGGAGATGCCAAAGCCAAACTTAAGATGACCACGGAGAAGAAAAGAAAAGGAAAAAACAGGAAGATAATGAGAGAGGTTTCAGATGTCTTACTGTGGGATGGGCAGGGAAAGGGTTGTACTGGTCAACTGGTTCTACGCTGGAGTTGGTCACTTGTGTGACCGAAGGGTCCTGAAACACAACAAAACGTCTGTCACTCATAATTATCAGTCACTCAGCCAATCACCACTGACACATCTACAGAAACCAGGTCAACGAAATGAATTCTCAATCCAGTTTCAACTGCTTCTGACTTCCATTATACCGAGCAAGGTCAGAGCTGCTGGAACGAGTAAAAGTGAACAGACTAGTTCAAAGAGACTTATGCAAAAGAGGCTTAGATAAACTGCATATTGGGGGTCATTGTGATTGAATTTCTAAGTGTAGGACAGTGTCTCTGATGAAAAAGGCAAGCCCAAGGCAGGGTTTGGAGAGTAGTTAGCAACAGATCAGTGCAGTTATACTGTACTCCTTGGTATTTAAGTGGATATAAAGTGCGAGATCTGTGGGTTTGTTCTCCAAACCATTCTCAACCTTGACTCCTGATATTTGAGCTATGAAAAACACTCACAAAATGTATTTACTGCTGTTTAGAGGAACTCCTTTCATTTCCTGAAACACTGAAGGTAAACCTTAGAAAAACATAAACCCAGACTGTGGTATCCGGCAGCATGCTTTGACCAAGTCATAAAATGGAGTACAATAACATCCAGCTATCGTTGCAATAACCTCTACAGGTCCTGATCAATCATTACCTGGTGAGAACTCAAGTCAGACACGAACCATTGGTAAACATTAATTGACCTTAACATCACAATTAGTTTAACTGTCTGATAGGAGAGGCCAGTCTGACAAGTATGTCAAAAGCATGTCTTTGATCCTTTAGCCCTGAATTTTCCAACCACACTGACAACCATTAAAAATTAAGGATGTCCTGTTGTCCCGGGGATAAAAAAAAAAGCACCTCGAACACAAAGCTACACGGTCAGTTTGAGACAGTAGAGAAATGCCTTATTACGTTTATGTATCATAGAATATCATTTTAATTAGCTGTTCAAATCTGAAAAATGTGAGGCGGCAAAAGCTCTACACTACTATCACATGTGCGCATACAAACACACAAAATCAATCATAGAGAGGTCTCTCCCTCTCCTCTTATGCCATGTGCATGCAGTTACTAGGCTAGGTGTTGGGGCTCGTTTAACCTTCTCTCTCACTGTTTCTCTCCGGATCTCGGGATTATGGTGTTCCTACAAACAGTTTGTTTGAGCTTGTAAATATTTACATTGTTTGTTTGATCTTCTCCCATCTTTTTTTTTTTTTTACCTTTTGACTTAAATATACGATGTCCTGAAGTGAGTTTGTAGTTATTATTTATTTCCATCGCTATATACTATGTCAATGAAGTGATGAGATGAGCGATTAATAATAAATGGTAATAATAAAATTCATTCAGAATTTAAAAAACAACTTTAATTTTGGACAATGGTTACTAAGTCTGGGACAGTTGATAGTACAATTTGGGAGAATTGCAATTAATGTGTCAAATAAGGTGCTAATAATTACAGCTGCGATAATTTGATACATTTATAGAACAGAAAATTAATCTGAAAGAAATATGATAATTGATTGTTTTTTGAGTTTTATCTGGATGCAGCTTCTTTAATATGAAAATGTCCTACTTTTCCCTGTTTGAGAAAATAATCAACAGACATATTAATGAAAAATGTTACCTTGTCCCTTTGTTAACAAGGGATCAGTGCAATTAGTAGATCTCCAGTCCTACAAAGTCCTGCGGCCACCAAAAAAAATGCATTTGTGTTGTGCTAGTGACCCAATAACCTCTGATGTTGCCTGAGTACAGGGAGTGAGGATTTTTACAATTCCCTGATAACAGGGAACAGTCTGGAAAACATCACATGATATTCCAGAAATTGTATGACTGTTTTACTACTAATCGTAAAGCAACTGGCACAACTTATTTATATGTTTTAATGGATGACTTCACAGATGTAAATACATAATATTTTGTTTCATGATGCCAAAGTACACTACAGTGCTCAGATTAGATCGGCAACAAATAGTCTACTTTGATAATCAATTCATGGTTTTAGTAACTTTTCATGTACAAATTTAAAACAAATAGCTGGTTCCAGCCTCAAATGTGATGCTTTTGTAGCTTTTCTTCATCATCTCAGATAGAATACTGAATATCTTTAGGTTTTGGTATGTCAAATAAAACAAGCTTTTTTCATATGGGAAATTAGGCTGCAGTTTGACATTTTATAGACAAAATGATTAGTCGATTAATGCAGAAAATAATCTGCACATAAATCAATAATGAAAGTAATTGTTGTAGCCCTAGTCCAGATAACGCTGCATCTGTCATAGTTGTTTTAACAGGAAAAGCAGGAGAATGGATTGTCTGTATTATAGGACTTGAAATTAATATACAATAAAACTAATTATTTGACAAAGCTAAACTGCACAAACAACTGTCAGAACCGTTTATATAATCTGTGTCAACAGAACGTCACATGATTACCCAACACGTCACTCACTGGTCACCATTACTTATCTGCTCGAGACACACCTGTAAACATTCCCAGCAGGAAACAGAGGGATGCCTGAGCAGCTTCACTCCTTAACACTTTTTTAGGAGGCATTTTAAAAAATGAATGTGCTCAATAAACTGTTTAACAGTTCAAAGACACAGCGAATCACATCCTTTTAGACTATTTATTAACTGTCAACTTGAGATTGAGTATGAGAATATATTGCCAGGGTATGTTTTAAATGCCAATAACACTTTTAAAAGGAGAAAACAATCTTGGCCTGTGGATATATTCAAAACAGCACATTATGTAAAATGACTTTACCTCATACCCGCCGTGCTGAGTCATAAATGAGAGGCTGCTTGTGTCTTTTGATGACCTAGCATATAGACAGCAATGAATAAAGCCAAAAAACCAAACCAAACTGATGACAGCCACTAAGCCTGTCTGAAATAAAGACTAAGCTGGGACAAGCCAAAACAAGACATCACTAGGTTCAAAACAACAGCAAAGGGGTGTGGAGATGTACACAAAAGCACCTTTCCCTTGATATTCACGTAAACTTCTCTACTGGTCAGGTCTGGAAATGTACAAATTCTAACCTAAAAGAGTGTAAAAATAAAGTTGGGATAAACTCAGCACGATATTCTGATCTTATAATCGTTGTAGCAGGAAACAGGACTCGCTGTGATAACCACTGGTTGCCTAGGTGTGGCTGTTGTACCCATTTCATAACTGCAGCTACTAAATAGACTTAGTCACAATTACAGCCCTACATGCGAACACCTTTCAGAAGTAAATGGTCATAAAAGCACACTGTACATGATTAGGGGATGGCACGGTTGACTTCAAGGTCATAAAGGGTGCACATTTTCAGTTATTTTTCAGCGTTGTCCTCGTGAAATTTCTCAAAGCGTTGGCGGCGTATTAACTGTTGCATGTATGCATGTGATAGTGAACTGCAGCACTACAGCATACAAAACATACTGCAGCTGCTGCTAGGTTTTTTATTCCGCCACTTCAATCCACACCCAGCAAACAAACTGTCTCCACTGACGTCATGGCCATTGTGCACCTGATATAATAAAGTGTGACTGCACTACTGTAAAAGTGACTGCATTACGCAATGTCACTATAATCATAGAAGAGTTTTCACAGATTCTGAATTGTGGTATTTAGTCTGATATGAGTTAATTTACCTTAAAAATGTTGAAGTCTGGTTGCCCTTGAGTCATGAATTTGTTGTTTTACAAGGTAAACACATGTAAAAGAACAGTGAGTGTGTTTAACAGATATGAGCAGGAAATATTATAGCATACCGACCTAATGTGGTGCTATAACCTGACGAGATCTTATCTTGTACAGTAATCAAAGGCTCAGTAATCTGGGTGAGTTGCTCAGTGGGCTAAGTTGCATTATGAACTTACGCTGCAGGTCAATTCCCTCCCATATTTCTAAGGAAGGTCCTTGTGAGTGAGACAGTTCATTTCTTTTCATCACTAGCTACTTCATACTACATAATAGGAAAATAAAGATGGAGAAGATGGAGTAGTTTTACAACTACAAAGGAATATCATGAGTTTGGATTTCAGACAGACTCTGAATGTTTTCTTCTTCCAGTCAGCCTACTTTTACATCATTTGACATTTTCCATCTACATAAAGAAACACTTTCATCTGTAGCTCAGCCACTTTAACATAAAGGCAGTCACTGTTAGATGGCCTACTTTTGTACATTGCACAATACTGAAACCACTAACTTGCTGCACAGTAAAGCTATCTGGATTTAAACATTTTCAGGACACAAACACAATGATGTTACAGAGCTTTTTATAGACTGAATAATCTTCTGGGCAACATCCTGTAGATTATAAATCTTTGTCAAAGAGAAAACCAGCAGCAGCAATGGAGGTACAGTAGCCTGAAACTGAGTGTCTTTGGGTAATGTAGGTGACATCATAGGATTAAAAACTATATCAAATCATAACCGACATATTGGGAAACCCACACAATGATAGAAACCCCTTTCAAATGGGATAGTAACACTTGTAACGTGGCTAAAAAAAGGTCTGACACACATTCCTTGTTGGCTACAGTTTAACTTCCTGCAACTAATCTAGCTGAACCCCCGCCCTCTTCTCAAACAAACTGCGCTGATTGTTTGAAGGCTTGCCAATCATGCTGTCTTTACCAAATGGCGTTCAAGAGAGCAGAAGTTGATCCCTCCCCGACATCCACCCAACAAGTTTCCTGGCGTGCTGGCTACCTTTCAACGAATGATATGTCAGCACCCTGACTCGACTGTTACCATACCAAGCTACTCAACGACATCTAAAACCACACACTTACATTGAAGGGGTTGTCGCTGGCAGGCGCTGCGAACGGGTTGCTATCAAATCCCGACATTTTGAAAGGGCTGCGTGCTGTTTTGTCCTCTTTCAAACGGGGAATAAACAACAAACTCTCCTCTGTCGTTCAGTCGCTTCTGCTACCACTTCCTCGAATGAAGTTTACCGCGCAGGCGCACTGACCAGCTGCACAATGACGTGTATGTCAGTTGACACACATTGACGAGGCAGAGCGCGCCACCTGTGGATGTCAGTAAATATAAATATAAATATAAATAACTTATATTTATATATAATACAACGTGTGTAGCTTTAACCAGAGCCATTAACATATACTACATCTGTAACAACCTGCATTATACACTGAGGCCACAAGTGGGGAAGATTTAATGAAAGAGGCTACTGAGTTGCATTGTGGGAAATGTAGGATACAGTGTTTTTGAGGTTTCACTCATAAGTGAGGATATCTTGACCTCTGCTGTACTGAACTGCAGGAGCTGCTAATATGATGCCTATGTGCGGTTTTCAGCACTGAGTTTAGTGACCATGCACGTTATAGCATTTTTATCACTTAGATTTATTTTATTTTATTTACTTTAAATTACACGGTTGTGCCATTTTTCTCTCTCCTTTCAACAATAAATAAGCAATACACAAAACAAAACAACAATATGGACCAATACAGGCAGTATAACATTAAACCCACCATTACATTAGAGGTCTATTTCAGCAGTAATAATATATAAAAATTAAAAAAAAAAACTAAAACGAATACATAACATAAAATAACATAAATACTATGCTTGGTTAAAGGCTATGCACTTTTTATTTTTAATGGATCACATATCAATAAATTAAGCTTCTGTACAGCTTTAGATATTTTTGGCGCTGATGAAAAAACATTAATAATTTAATTTGGGTTGTTTTTATTTTACATTTTACATTTTAGCGTTTTATCAAACTGAAAAAGAAATCAATAAAAAATCAATGAAGCCGTTCGTCGATCGGTGACGTCAGCAGCGCTGTGACAGCCGACGTCGCAGCCATGGAGGAAGTGAGAGGTGAGTGAGATTTTCTCCCTCTTAACTGAGTCAAAATCATTTGTTTTATCGATGAACATTAAGCTACGGTCTCCTGCAGCGGGTTATTTGCACCACAGGACAGCTGATATGTGTTATAGACACGGTGAGACCGAACAAACGAGCCCGTTGTTGTAGCATCCATTATTTCAGCCGGCGTTTGGTATGTTTCAATGTGAAGCGGGCACTGTTAGCACTTACAGGGGGATAACCACAGACTGTAGAAATACAGATAACACATGGCTTAACCCTTTTATTTACCACTGTATAAAATGTCTTCGGGCGGACACACTCTCGCAAACGTAAACCTGCTTACTGTGTGTGTTTCTGTCAATGGTCGTTGCATCGTCAGCTGGTCGGTGTAATGTGTCCCCGGCGGAATCTGCTTCCCCGGTTTTACAGTTTTTAAATGAGGGAGGGTGTATGTATCTGTGCAGGCTGTGTATGATTATTTCTCCCTGTCAAAATGTGCCACGACAAAGCTGATGTTGCAAGTCAACAAACCGGTTTGTAATAGTCCAAACTGCATGGTTACATGGAGAGGACAGTACGTTTTGGAAGACTTGCATCCTGCTTTGGGAAACAGTTGGACACACAGATAATCAGTGACTCAATGCAAAATGATGTGCACCTTTCAGGGAGTGTAATGTAGTTCTGTATTCATTCATTTTTGTCCCTCCTCAGTGTTTCCCCTCACCTGTGCCGTGCAAAACTATGCCTGGGGGAAGGTTGGTGTGGACAGCGAGGTGGCCAAACTGGTGGTTGGGGGAGACCCACTAGCTGTCATAGAGGATGGCAAGCCCTATGCAGAGGTAAGGTTGTTACTGGGAAGGGACTGGTGCCAGAGACGTGTGTCTGTATATCTATTGGAGGTCAAGTTTGGTCAAAGTTGGACCAGAAATATCTGACACAGCATGAGTTGAAATGTTTGATCTGTAGCTTTCATTTTATTGTGAACAGCAGTTCTAGGTCAATTAATGTCATTTCTATTTTTTAACACCGAAACAGAGTTTAAAAATAGTTTTTCTTTCCATTTCTCTGACATATCACTTAGACATTTGACATTAAATTGTAGGACCCCTTATAGATAATAAGATAATAACAGAATAATTACACAGATGCTAACACTTATTCTTTACAATATATATTATAGGATATTTTAATTTATTGACATTGTCCTCTACAGTGTGCAAACTCTGCCTCAGTACAAAGATCCATGATGTTGTTCCTCCGTGTCTTGGCAGAGAGCCGTGTTCCCTCCATGCCTTTCATAAGTCTTTCCTTATTTAGCTACAGTAGCTCTACAGTGTTTGTCATGAAGGTCATTAGTTCAAGCTACGGCTGTGGTGACATTTTCATGTACAAGACACATTAATGTCACATGTCACGGTTGGTCATTATGTGCTTTCATGCTGCTAGTCAGAGGGTGGTTGAGGATGTTTAATCCGACATTACAGTATGTGGCTTAGTGTTAAGCACGTCTGCGACATGTTAGTCTAACAGTTGTATGTCCTGTTACAGTCGTGGTACATTTTTCCAGCTGCATGCCAGTGTTTTTATTGATTGCATTATAGTTTTGTGTAAGGGGAAATAGACATCATCTTAAAATATATGTGTACATTGTAATGCAAAATGAGAATTTACTCAAAAATCAGCAATATGTTAATGTAGTGGAACTTTCCTTCAGATTGAAAGCACATTTAATCCATGACAGTATTTAATTGGAAGAGTTCTGACACGTGTTCACATGTAGGGCTGATGCAGGACACAGGTTAGAGAGACCAGCCTGTACCAAAAAGGTTACCAGTGTGAGCCTCACCGCTGCAGTCAGTGTGTCCCTGATATACTGTGTCCTTCATTTACATTCAAGTCATTAGACTAATCCAGAGTGATTTACACTAAAATGGTGGGGATTCCTCCTTTCTCACTGAGTATAAATCACTTTGGAGCAGCATTAGATAAATTGGTTAAATGTAAATGTGTGATCCAGCCCTTTCTCTCTGGGAAAAACTCGGACTCCCTCAGGAAGCTTGTTAAGGAGGACAAAGGAACAAACAGAACTGCCACATCTACATTTTTCAAGTTTTATTTATTCTCAGACTAATTAAATTTTTAATTGGGATTTGGCACTGATTGTTTTTTCATCAACCTTCTAGTCACAAACCCACTAATTCAACCTTTTGTCTTCTTCTGCCTCAACTCACTAATATTAATTTATATTTATTTTGAAATTCCAATATTGGACATTATTGACGTAATCTCTGCTGTCTCTTCCAGTTGTGGATGGGTGCTCACCCAAAAGGTGATGCCCAGATTAAAGACAACAGGATCGCACAGACTACACTGGGACAGTGGATCGCCCACTTCCCTGCCTGCTTGGGCTCCAAGGTCAAAGACACCTTCCAGGGACAGCTGCCTTTCCTCTTCAAAGTCCTCTCTGTCAACACAGCCCTGTCCATACAGGCCCACCCCAACAGAGTGAGTACACAAACACACACACCTACGCAGTGTTCACATTCTGCATGACATGACTCATTATTCTGAATTGGGAAATTGTTTAGCTTGGTTTTTTTTTTATGCTTACAACATTATACTCTTTCTGTGTTTGAATAACTGATTAAATTAGGAATCTGTAAAACAAAAAGATTCTTACAGATTCAGACTTATCATCAGTATCCTCAGTGTTAATTGTAATAAACGTCAACACTCAGAAAAAAAAAAAACGTAATGAGTTCCTACCAACAGTAGACATTCCTACTAAAAAAAAAATATTGTATAAAGCCTTTTGTGTCTGATAAATTGCCTCAGGTGATGTCACTTGAGTCAGTATCAGTTGAGCCTGATGATTACGAAAACAAACAGGGTGTAGAGTTACTGTAGTCCTTCTTCATCTCTCGTTGAGGCTACATTGGGTGGTACTAGCATAACACACCCGAATCTCTCACTAAACTGTTGGTGTTTGAGTTGCATTGTGGGTAATGTAGGCACCAGGTTTTCAGAAGAATGCATGGAATAAAAAGGATGATGTGTCTTAGTTTTGATACTAAAAATAAAAAAATATTTTCTTTTTTTATTTGAGTAGAAAGTCAACAGGTACAACACATCTTACATTGTACACTTTTGTCTTTGGATTTTGATACTTAAAAAACGTTCAATACATACAATACAGTATTATAGAAGTGCAACCATTGACAGTATATATAACACTAACTTTAGTGCAACACTAAATGTTTTTAGTATCTTTGTATTTTTTATGATTGCTTAAAAGGAGAGGTTAATTCCCAATCTAAAAAAAAAGAATGAATGTTGTCTCCTGAAATGTCTATTTTGATATTTCAGTGGCATTATCCAGTTGTGAAGAGACAGAAATCTAAATACAGTATATGGTTATAAAATGGATGGATGACTGGCATGCAAATTTTTTTAACATACTGTCTTTGGCACTGTGCCTTCCCTCTTTACTAACCCTTTCCCTTTCTGTCATTATGGTTTGGTCAGGAGTTAGCTGCTCGTCTCCATGCTCAGTTTCCGGAGCACTATCCAGACAACAACCACAAGCCGGAGATGGCCATCGCTCTTACCCGCTTTCAGGGCCTCTGTGGCTTCAGACCAGTGGAGGAGATCCTGGGACACCTTAAATGTGAGTCCCAAAGTCCCACAGGGTCATTAGAGGCTTTTGGATTGATTTTGCAGTTACTAGAGAAACGGGGGGGTGTTGGTGTCAAACCCATACATTTACTGTATATCATATAATGGATGTGAAGGTAAAGTACTGTGCAGTTCATACATTCATACCTTGTACCTGTGTGTGTGTGTGTGTACCCATCAGGTGTCCCAGAGTTCCGAGCTCTGGTGGGAAGTGAGGCAGCGGAGGAGCTGCAATGCTGCATGGGAGATGTGGTTCAGACGAGCCAGGTGCTGAAGAAGTGCTTCACCAGGATGATGAACTGTGAGAAGAAGGTGTTCATAGATCAGCTGAACATGCTGGTCAAGAGAGTCACTGAAGAGGGTGAGGGATATAGCTAATGGAAAATTCCTGTTTTTATTCAGTTAATTTAGTTGGTTTGTCATGAAGCATTTACCAGTCAGTACTTAAGGATCAA